GAAAAGAAAAGAAAAGAAAAGAAAAGAAAAGAAAAGAAAAGAAAAGAAAAGAAAAGAAAAGAAAAGAAAAGAAAAGAAAAGAAACCCTCTATTGCAGGGCTCTTCACACTTGGCAAGTTTAAGACTTGTGGACTTCAACTCCCAGAATTCCTGAGCCAACATGACTTGGAGGAGGAATTCTGAGAGTTGAAGTCCGCAAGTCTTTAAAGCTGGCAAGTTTAAAGACCCTTGCTCTAACTGCTAGAATTTCCCAGGTTCAAACGTTTGGTTAACTTGGTGGGGGGGGGGGGGGGGGGCGGGGGCTTCAACCTCGACAGCTTGAAGATTTGTGGACTCCCAGAATTCCTCCTCCAGTCATGTTAGCTCAGGAATTCTGGGAGTTGAAGTCCACAAGTCTTAAACTTGCCAAGTTTGAAGACTCTTGTCGTAGGAGGATGCAACGGAAAGATATGACACTGGAATATTGTTTTTTTGGGAAGCAGTTTTGTGGGTTTTATGCAGGGGTGGGATTCAAATATCCCAGCAACTGGTGGGTGTAATCTACCAGAACTTCCAGTTCAGCCATTTTTTGCCTCCGGTGGGCCTCCGGAAGCCAGAAACAGGCCCATTTCCAGACTTATGGAATTTCTAAGAGGGCCCTTTTTCCCCCTCCCAGAGCCTTCGTGCAGACCCTGCACTTCCCTGCATCCAAAATGGGACACGTGGGGACTCCTGGGAGAGGAGGGGCAAGGTGGGCAGGGCCAGCCAGTTGGTTCGACTAGCGAGTAAATGCAACATTCAGTTTGCCTGAACCGGTCTGAACCGGTAAAATCCCACCTCTGGTTTTATGCATTTGTCAAGGTCTCTCCCCACCCACCCACCATTTTTTTTTAAAAATCCACTTAATATGGAACGCAGTTATTTGCTGCAAGGGTTTTTCTGGCAGGATGGATATTACCTCCTCTATCTTCTTGAAGAGCTCTTGAATGGAGGGGTCCTTTCCAGGCAAGGCTCTTACTCTGTTCTCTCGGTCTGGGTCAGTAAACTGCTTCTCCAGGCTTTTAATTTTGTCCTTGCATTGTGAAAACTATTTTAGAAAGATCAACAAACAGATATCTTAAGCAACTGGTTTGGTAAGGCAGCATTTGTATTCTTCATCATTACAAAACAAAATACTAGAATAGTTAAAGATTCTCTTTCAGAGACTAATTGGACCTAACCTCTTTTTTCTTTTCTTTTCCTTTTCTTTCTCTTTCTTTCTCTTTCTTTCTCTCTTTTTCTTTCTCTTTCTTTCCCTTTCTCCCTTTTCTTTCCCTTTCTCCCTTTTTTCTTTCTCTCCTTCCTTTCTTTCTTTCTCTCCTTCCTTTCTTTCTTTCTTTCTTTCTCTCCTTCCTTTCTTTCTTTCTTTCTTTCTTTCTTTCTTTCTTTCTTTCTTTCTTTCTCTCTCTCTCTCTTTTTCTCTTTATTTCTCTGTTTTTTTTTTTCTTTCCCTTTCTCCCTTTTTTCTTTCTCCCTTTCTTTCTCTCTTTCCCTTTCTACCTTTTTCTTTCTCTCTCTCTCTTTCTTTCTCTTTCTGTCTATCTATCTCTCTTTGTTTCTTTCTTTCTGGTTTTTTTTTTTGGCATAACAAATTCTAAGAAAACAGGCCTCGGCCACAAAAATGAGCATTTCCTCAAAAGAATCAGCAGGTGATTCATTCTCTGGAGTTTCTACTTCTCTTTTTTTTCTTGTAAAGTTACACCATTCACTTGCTTCCTGTTCTCAGCAGTTAACTTGTATCACAGGAAAAAGGTGAAAACATCACCCTCCAAAAAAATTAGAACCTCAGCAGAATCACTTAAAAGGGAAGGAGAGAATTAATGTGAGAAAATAAGGTTAAAAAAAAATGATGTCCCTTTCCCGAGAACATTTTGTTTTAAAAATTGGCTGGACAGCTACATTTCAGGAAAATGACATATGTTTGTGACAATCCGCAACAGACAAACAGGTTGCTCCATGCTACAAAATGCAAAGTGTTAAGTGGAAAAAAATGCAGGTACCTCCGAATAACAGGATGTGGTTATCGTTTCAGTGAACACTTAAATGTGCGGCAGGATAGCAATATACAATGTTCACATTTGCTGGCATTGGTCCCTGCCATCCTGCATATTATATCCAAAGCACACTTATAAACAACTCAGTAAAAACACACTGACAGTCTATGGAGATTCTCAGTCATCCAGGTCATGGTTGTCCCCAAAGTGCTTTTTTCAGGAGGCAATTGGTCTTTCTTGTTTTTTCTTTTGAAGACGTTTCGCTTCTCATCCAAGAAGCTTCTTCAGCTCTGACTGGGTGGTGTGGAACGGAAGGATTTATACTCCTTGCAGACAGCTGGTCATTTGCATCCTTTTAGAGAGTCGTTGAGGCCACCTGGAGGTTTATCTGTGTCCCCAGGGTCACCTGAGTGGTACAAATGGCTGTGGAGCCATCTTGGAAAGAACTATGTTGTCGGCTGTGTTGTAGACTGGAGATAAATGACATCCTCTATCTCCAATTTACAACAGTCCTTTCAGCAATTCCAAGAAGACTCCGCACCACTCAAGTGACTCTGAGGACACAGATAAACCTCCAAGTGGCCTCAACGACTCTCTAAGAAGATGCAAATGACCAGTTGTCTGCAAAGAGCTGTCTGCATTGCCCACATCCAGTCAGAGCTGAAGAAGCTTCTTGGATGAGAAGCAAAACGTCTTCAAAGAAAAACCAGAAAGTCCAGTTGCCAGTTGAAAAAAAGCACCTTTGGGACTCACTGACAAAGATTCCTCTCCAAATAGCTGGAAATTGGTTCAGCTAGATACCAGATTAAGGAATATCTAGCATTCTTGTTAAAAGGATGGATTCCATTGTCCATTTTTTCTCCTTGCTCTCTTGTCTACGGTGAGGACTAGTGTAATGTGCTATTTCATTAAGGCTAAGTCCTCTAGCGTTTGGTTACAGGGTCCTCAAAAGTTCTGTTCGCTGTGGCTTTTTAAAAGGATTTAAGTATTTTATTAGTTTATCACAATATAAAATACAAAAATACAAAGTAAAATGTAAATAAGGGGAAAGTAAGAGAGAAAAAGAGGAAGTGGGAAAGGGGCAGGGGAAAGGGGGAGAAAAGAAAAGCATTGACTTCCAATTCCTTTTGATGCAGTAAAATATAGCAGTGACATAAAACCTCAACTTTTTACTTATGTATGATAATATATATTTGCCATTTCTGTAACACCAAACGTATCAAATCAACAAAACCCAAAATCAAACTTCAAAATCATTTTTTTTTCTACCTCAAAACTCAAAGTCCAAAAGTAATTTCCATGTAGAAACAAAAGGTTGTTTTTTTGTTTTTTCTTTGATCAAAGCAGTCAATTTAAACCATTCCGGCTAACTCCATCATTTTTTGCAGCCATTTGTCCTTTGTGGACTTTCAGTGATTTATTTTTGTGGCTAAAAATCTCTTCTATGTACTGGTGTGTGAATGCCACCTGTAACATAAGATTCAGCTTGCTGGTGTCTAGTAACCTATTAAAGTAGTTAGAACTAGATCAATTTCCGTTTATGACCCCTGAGAATGTATCAATATAAGAAAAATATCATAGCTCAGGGTTGAACTGTGGGGTCCTTGGTACTCTCTGAGCTTCGTGGTTTTCTTGCAGACATTTCATTACCAAACTAGGTAACATTATCAGTGCACTAATGATGTTACCTAGTTTGGTAATGAAATACCTGCAAGAAAACCATCAAGTTTAGAGAGCACCAAGCATTCAACTGAGAATGTGGACAAACTGCCCAGAGCAATATATGTAATGTTTGTCTTCAAGATCCACGTCCAGCCTGGCTTATAGCTTCTGCTGGGAATTATTAAACATACTTTGTTTAACATCATAAAAGTATCGCTGAGGAAAGGCAAGACGCCTCCATGTCTAAATAATGGAGGTGATTGTTAGACTTCTTTTAAGGCTTTTCGTAAAAACCTCTAGTGATGGAGCATCCACATCCACTTCTGGAGGCAAGCTTTTCCACTGGTTAATTGTTCTCACTGTCAAGAAAATTGCAACCATTCATCTGTTGCTGCTAAAGCTTTTGAAAACGTTCTGCAGAGTTGAAGGTCCCTTCTCAACTTTCAAAGAAGCCTTTAAAATCCATATTTTTGAAAAGCTTTTAATTGCAGTTAATTTTAAACCGTGCACTTTACTTGCCTTTAAAAAAAATGCTGAGTTAAGATCTCGGTTTTAAATTGTATTGCAAGCAGTTCAATATATCAAGTAAATTAAGTGGGTAAATAAAAACACAGCTATGGGGTGTACCAAAGTCATGCCCCATAGGCCAATTGGAGCACATGTCTTATTAACATCTTTTGCCAGAGAAAACGTTAACTGTTCAAAGGTTATGCAGCCAATAAATAAGGAATGTGTTTAGAAGAAGACAGTAACCAAAGCAAATATTTAATTTGCTTCATAAATTGTTAATGAGGCCTAACTTTTGGCTGATTAAAACAAACAAAAGTAGAGCTGTAGCTTTGTGTTTCAGTTTAGCCACACGGACTTTTTTTAACTATTAAAAATATGTCAAAAGTAAGAACTCAATGCAGGAATGAATTTTAAAAATACCATAGGGGGGAAAATTTGCAATTTGCTGATAAGGTCAAGAGTAAGCATGCATTTTCAGAAAGAAAGGAATGTCCCTACAGGGAAGCAGTTCACAATATTCTTTTACCATTTAGTGGGGAGATCTGACAACAGAATTCGAAGGGACCTTGGAGTTCTTCTAGTCCATTCCCTGCTCAAAGCAGGAAAATCTATACTATTCCAGACAAATGTTTGTCCAATCTCTTCTTAAAAACCACCAGTGATGAAGCACCCACAACTTCTGGAGGTGAGCTGTTCCACTGGTCAATGGTTCCCACTATTAGGAAATTTCTCCGTAGTTCTAAGTTGCTTCTCTCCATGATTAGTTTCCATCCATGGCTTCTTCTCCTGCCTCCAGGTGCTTTAGAGAATAGCTTGACTCCCTCTTCCTTGTAGCAGCCCCTGAAATATTGAAACACTGCTATCCTGTCACCCTTAGTCTTTCTTTTCATTAAACTAGACATACCCAATTCCAGTAATCATTCTGTTTTAGCCTCCAGTTTCCTAAACATTTTTGTTGCTCTTCTCTGTACTTTTTCTAAATATCTTTTCCATAATATGGTGACCAAAACTGGATGCGGTATTCCAAGTGTGGTCTTACCAAGGTATTTTTAAAGTGGTATTAACACTTCAGGCGATCTTGATTCTATAATGCAGCCTAGAACTGCGTTAGCTTTTTTTGGCAGCTGCAACATACTGCTGGCTCACATTTAAGCGATTGTCCACAATCGAGCAGTTCTTGACTATTTAAAGCAAGGATTAAAATCGAAACAGAGTTTATCTTCTGTTATATCTTAGAGTTATATCTTAGAATTGTTTGGTTGAATTGACTCATTGTTTGACAGCAACAGGAGTGAAAGTACATTTAGGATTTATATTAGAATGGTTTCTAGACAACGGATCATAACACCCGACAACTTGATCTGTTGCTCTGGGCAGGCTAATTTTTGAAGCAGGCTTTTGGAGCGTGTCCTTTGAACAAGGGAAGGAAACCTCTGCATTTGTGGTGGATAAATCTTTGCTCTTTGAATCTTGAAGGAGGATCAGTTTCGGTTCAGAAGAGGAACTCTTAAGTTCCTTATTTGCGCTTTCATTTAAAAAAAAAAAGGCCATGATGAAGATCTAATTCTAGAGGAGAAATCAGCAAATGACCCATGTACACTGCAGAAGCATTGGCGGGCCACAAAATCTCCTACCTCACATATACTTAGGCCTCTGCCTATATAAGAGTGAACATTTAAATGCGGGGGTGTCTAACTTTGGCAACCTTAAGACTTGTGGACTTCAGCTCCCAGAATTCCCCAGCCAGCCATTGAAGAATGGTGAATGGAGACCCTATGCCATTCTAGACAAATGGCTGTCCAATCTCTCAAAAAACCTCCAGCTGATGGGAGGACCCACAATTTCTGAAGGCAAGCCATTCCACTGATTAATTGTTCCCACTGCCAGGAGATTTCTCCTTAGTACGAGAAATTGCTTCTCTCCTGGATTCGTTTCCATCCGTTGTTACTTGTGCTTTGGAGAATAGCTGGACTCCCTCTTCTTCGGGGCAGCCCCTCAAATACTGGAAGACTGCTATCATGTCACCCCTGGTCCTTCTCTTCGTTAGACTAGACATATTGTATTTCATTCCAATTTCATTTTAAATCGTAGTTTATTCCAATTTCATTTTAAATCGTAATTTTATCCAATTCCATTTTAAATTGCTTTTATCAAATTTTAGTAATAATTTGTTTCTGTAACTCTGCACTTTGATATGGCCCAACGGCTAATCAACAAATAAAGATTTGTAAAACAGACTAGAGATACATAGTCCCCTCAGTCATTCATCACATGAATAGAATAGAATAAAAGAGTTGGAATGGACCTTGGAGATCTTCTAATCCAACCCCCTGCCTAGGCAGGAGGAAATCCTACACTACTACAGATAAAGGTTTATCCAACATCTTTTTAAAAACTTCCAAGGTCAGGAAATTTCTCCTTAGTTCTAGGTTGCTTCTCTCCTTGATGAGTTTCCACCCATTGCTTCTTGTCCTGCCTTCTGGTGCTTTGGAGAATAGCTTGACTCCCTCTTCTTTGGGGCAGCCCCTGAGATATTGGAACACTGCTATCTTGTCTCCCCTGGTCCTTCCTTTCCTCAAACTAGACATACCCAGTTCCAGCAACCGTTCTTCATATGTTTTAGCCTCCAGTCCCCTAATCATCTTCGTTGCTCTTCTCTGCACTCCTTCCAGAGTCTGAACATCATTTTTACATGATTTAGCCTCTAGACTCTCCCCTTATTAAATTTGACCTGGTAATGGGAAGGGAAGTGGAGAGGCTGTCTGAGAAAGTGCCAGTCAGCTCAACTGTCTGCTTTGTCCATTTCCTTCCTCATCACAACGCACGCACCTTGGAAACTCAGCCAAGACAGTCTGGTGCCTGCACATTCTCCTATTGCCTTCAATGGGGCTAACATCCTTGCTTTGCAGAAATCCAGCAGCCCTTACTTAGATCCCTTGGATTTTTGCAGTTCAAATATGATAAACTTAAGTTTCCAAGCTCAGTCCCAATTTGGAGACGCTGAGGGAGAAAACTGAAGCAAAGCAGATAAAAGGAAGCAAAGAAAAAATGAGTTAGCCAGAGGATGAAGATTGGCAGAAGGCAAACTTTTAAAATTGTTGTGGTTCGGCGGCAGCTGGTACAGACGGTAGAGGTATCTGACAGTGAGGAAGAAAGGGGACCAGTCAGGTGGTCTGGACAGAACTCGGACGAGGGCCCTGCATCCGATGCAGGGATGGGGCCAGGACCATCCGGGAGGACCACCTGTCATCTGCACCTCTATAACTGTTTGGTTTGGTTCTGCAACCCAACAGGACAGACACAGACTTCAGAGAGTAATTAGGACTGCAGAAAAAACAATTACTACCCACCTGCCTTCAATTGAGGACCTGTATATTGCACGAGTCAAAAAGAGGGCTGTGAAAATATCTATAGGCCCCTCATATCCTGGACACAAACTGTTTCAACTCCTACCCTCAAAACGACGCTATAGAGCACTGCACACCAGAACAACTAGACACAAGGACAGTTTTTCCCCGAAAGCCATCACTCTGCTAAGCAAATAATTCTCTCAACACTGTCCAACTATTTACAAAGTCTGTACTACTATTACTGTTAATCTTCTCATCCCTCCTTATCACCTATCCACTCCCACTTGTGACTGTATGACTATAACTTTGTCGCTTGTATCCTTACAATTTTTATTGACTGTTTCCTAGTATGATTGATTGCTTATGGTACCCTATGACTAGCATTAAGTGTCGTACCTTATGATTCTCGACTCCTGACGAATGTCTCTTTTCTTTTATGTATACTGAGATTATTTACACCAAGACAAATTCCTTGTGTGTCCAATCACACTTGGCCAATAAAGTATTCTAAAGTATTCTAGTGGGGTGCAGCCTCCAGACCTCCGGAGTCTGGCAGCGGTGAGGCAGAGGACCCAGGGGAGCCTGTTCCCAGTGCACATGTGCTAGAAGGCGAGAGCAGCTGAAGTAGAAGGGGAGACTCGGGAGTAAGGCTGGGAAGTGTTTGCCCCTCCCAAGAGGGATAAAAGTCAGACCTCAATGACGAAACCTTTGCAGGAAGCAAAGCTGTTCAATATATTCTGAGTCCTTCTTGAAGTTCTGTACTCTGGTCGTTTTTTTCTGATACTTTGGGTGGGTTCTGTTATAATTACTTTGGAGACTTCTGGTTTTTCCACAGCACTGACAAGTGTGGGCTTATCTTGGGAAACTGTGTGTAATGAGTTCTGGCTGGAAAATGAAAGTAATTCCCAGCATTGCATTGAAATAATAATAATAAGTCTTTATTGATTAGCCCTTGAGCCATATCAAAGTGCAAAGTTCCAGCAACAGTTTGTTACTAAAATTTAATAAAAGCAATTCAAGATGAAATTTGATAAAATACTATTTAAAATGGAACTTGATAAAATACCATTTAAAATGGAATCTAGACAAAATATGATTTAAGATATAATAGTAATAAAATACAATCCAAAATAAAATTGTAATAATGTACAATAATTTAAGATATAGATAAAATATAATAACGTTATATTTCGGAGTCACCCTTGCAATCTACCCCAATCAATCCCACATATGCAGATCTCAACCAAATCATTTTGTTTAAATACCGTGCTACTTTAAATGTTATTTTCAAGTTCTGGCCGGACATAAGGTAAGTTATTTTGATATGGGTATCCCAATGGAACATTGAAATAGATTCTGCTTTTCAAACAAGCTTGTGTGTTTCAGTACGTTTGACGAAGCCTGGGTCAGAACAATGGATGCTGTGTATATATGTACAATGACAATAAAGTATTATTATTATTATTCATTCTGAGTGCTAACTCAGCAAAGATTATAATCCGCTCAACCAGGAAGAAGCTTCTAACCCGGTTATCGGATGGAGAAATTCCAGCTTATTATCTTAAAATTTAAAACAAAAATCTTATTGGGAAAATGCGCCTTCACTTGCATACCTGAATTTGAAGCACCACTAAATCAGCATCAAGAGTCCTCTTGGTGGGCAACATTTTGACGTGTAATTCAATCTGCCTCTTTTTCTCGATCATCTTCAGTTTCAGATAGCGTATTTTCTCATCCATCACATTAATCTCAATGTCGCCATTTCGGCTCATCATTTCCTGAATGTTTATTTTTTCATAGAAAATGCACACTTCTTCTTCACGTTCGATGAGCTGAACGCCACTGCAATGAAATCCAGAGGAAGGATGGTGAAAATACATTATAAATGATCTGATTCACATGTGGTGTGCTGAAAGCACATGTGTGCGTGATAACAATGAGCTCCCCCGCGCATGTGTGTGCAACACCCCCACCCCCTTACCTGCACTGCACATGCATGCTCCTCCCAGTTGATTTTCAGGACATTTGAGGCCATTTTTGCCCTCCTGGAGACTTGAGGGAAGCTACTGGAGCATCAGAAGGCTGAAAACGGTCCTGTTTCGCCACTTCCGATATTTCCGGAAGACCCCTTTTTCGGCCTCCCGAGGCTGCAGAGGCTTCCCTCGAGTCACCAGGAGGGCAAAAATGGCCTCAAATGGCCTGAAAATCAACTGGGAGGAGCACGCATGCGCAGTGCAGGTAATGGGGCGGGGCTCATGTGCCTGCACAAATGGCTCTGCGTGCCACCTGTGGCATGTCACGGCACTATAAGCTTCACGTCAAGCAGAATGCTTCACTCGATTTACCACAGTTCATTTAGTGACGATTCAAAGTTATAATGGCACTAAAAAAGTGACAGGACTATTTTTCACAATTACGACGTTTGCAGCATCCTCGGGGTCACATGATCAAAATTCAGATGCTTGGCAACTGACTCTTACTTATGACTCTTGGGGTGTCCTGGAGTCACACGATCGTCTTTTGCAACCGCCTGTCAAGGAAAATCGATGGGGAAGCCAGATTCACTTAACAACCTGTGTTACTAACTTAACAACTTCACTGATTCACTTAACAACTACAGCAAGAAATGTCGTAAAATGGAGCAAAGCTCACTTAACAAATGTCTCACTTAACAACAGAAATGTGGGGCTCCATTGTGGTTGTAAGTTGAGGACTACCTATCTTTTTTTTTATTTATACATAAGTATTTTGAATACAGTATATTGTCCGGGCATTTCATTTTACAAAAGAGGAAAAAAAAAGAAACACATATACTGATAATAATAATAATAATAATAATAATAATACACTTGATAATTATAACCATGCTTATAATTGTATTAGCTTATTTATGATCATATTAATTGTACTAGCGTACAGTGGCGGGATTCAAATACTTTAACAATCGGTTCTCTGCCCTAATGACAGGCTGGGTGGGCGTGGCCATGATGGGTGTGGCAAGGAGGTGTGGCAGGCAGCACTCGGCCTCCTGCACCCCTCTGGGGGCAAAAACGGGCCGCGGGGGGGTGCAGTGCATCCCATCGGGTCCTGTTTTGGGCCTAGTAGGCCTCCCTGCAGCCTCTTGGGAGCAGAAATGGGCCACAGAGGGACGCCACATCCCCCACACCCCGTTTTGGGCCTAGTAGGCCTCCCTGCATTTACCTGGAAGCCAAAAAGAGGGTGCATAGGGATTCCTGGAAGAGAGGGGAGGGGCCAGCCATCAATTTAACAACTGGTTCAGCCAAAGTGGTGCGAACTGGTTGAATCCCACCACTGCTAGCATACTTACAATTATGAACATTCATATTTTACTTACAAATAACAATGATCTTTCTTTATCTAATTTCTACCTCTTATCTCTAACCATTGATAAAACCTAGCACTGAGGACTACCTGTCGTAACAGTACATTTATTGCCAGTAAAATCGAAGCTTTTTTTAATCAAAAGGTGTTATTTTCTCTTCCTTTACGTTTTGTATTTTCAGGAATAATTTGGGGGCCCGCTTCCATACCTTTCATTTCGTCTCTGGACAGCCTTTTCGTACGTCTTGCGCAACTGGACCATTTCCTCCTCGATCCGGGTGAGCGTGTTGGTCAGCCGTTCGACGTCCATCAGCTGCTGCTCCCGTTTCTCCTTCATGTCCTGGACGGTCTGATAAACCTTGCAAACATCGCTCTGGATGCTGTCCTTGATCGCAACGTTGTTGGAATACTTCATCTGGTATTTCTGCAGTTTTCTAAAGGCGACGAAAACGTAAGAGGCGCGGAGGCACCGCAGTGGTTAGAGCGCAGTACTACAGGTTAATTCTGCTGACCACTATGCTACCAGGAAGGAAAATAAGAAAGGAATAAGGGAGGGAGGGAGGGAGGGAGGGAAGGAAGGAAGGAAGGAAGGAAGGAAGGAAGGAAGGAAGGAAGGAAGGAAGGAAGGGCAAGAGCAGTGTTATATACCACTTCAGAGTGCTTTACAGACCTCTCTAAGCGATTTACAATTTGCCCCAACAATCTGGGTCTTCATTTTACCCACCTCAGAAGGATGGAAGGCTGAGTCAACCTTGCCCCACTTCTGCCACCAAGAGGAAGAAAATTATTTTTCAGGTGAATTGTTTTCCTGAATACTCACCTTTCCTTAATTACGGCGTTGGTCCTTAAGATCTCCATCTCGTTATCCAGCATTTTGACTTTGTCTTTAATTTCATTTGTTTTCTGGCGAGCGCAGTGTACAATGCTCACCAACTTGTTTCTCTCGTGCCGCACAACGTCGTACAGTTTGGCAAATTCTTTCATCCTGAAACACCCCCCACCCCAATTTTTTTTTAAGGAAAACATTGGTGTACCAATTTCCCTTTTTGTTGTTGTTGTTGTTGTCAACAGTATGCCAGCAAACCCCCATGGAAATAATTCTCTTACTGTCTATGAATCTCTCTCCGTTTCTTTGTATGCTCCCTAATTTCGAAGTCTTTCGTTTTTATTTCTGCAATGATGTTATTCAGGCGCTGCTGCAAAAGACAAATAGCAGTGGATAGTTGGGGAGTTGTTGGAATGGCAAGGCCATTTCTAAAATTCAAGGAGGCAAAGATTACTCAAGAGCATCATTCTGTATTTCAAAAATAGAATACGGTATTCCCAGAAATCAAAATGGAGCTCGATCAGGGGTATCAAACTTGATTTCATTGAGGGCCGCATCAGGGTTGTGTTTGACCTCGGGGGGGCTTGGTCAGGGTGGGCATGGCCAGCTCAGTGTCACTCATCAAGGCTCCATTTTCGACCACGACAGCCCTGTCCCTCCGGGCTCCATTTTTGGCCATGATGGCCTCCTGTAGCCCTCTGCCAGAGAAAATGGAGCTCAAGGAGGCTACGTGCAGCTGATCCAAACTCTGTTTTTGGCCACAATAGCCTCCTGCAGCCCTCTACCATAAATAATGGAGCTTGGGGAGACTGCGTATGGCCCAGGGGTGGGATACGACAGGGTTAACTGTCGGTTCGGTGATTTACGAGGTTCAGTGATGTATGACGTATTTCCCTGCATGCTGCGAGCTACGCGCCTGTAAATCGTCATCAGCACGCTGAGTGCAGAGAAGCAGCCTTTGAAACAGCCCTCTTTTCCTGCTTTTTTTAACTGCAGCTGAACCTCGCACGGCAGCTAAAGTTGAAAAATTCAGGAAATAAAGATCAGGTAAGAGCCCGGGTGGGCGGGTGGGCAAAAACATCAGCAGACATAGAACCGGTTCTACAGAGACAGAAACATCAGCAGAGCTACCAGTTCTACAGAGGTGGACGGTAGAAACCCACCCCTGGTGTGGCCTCCCCAAACTCTGTTTTCACTGGCAGAGAGTTGCAGGAGGCTGTCGCGGCCCGTCCCGGGTTCCCTTTTCGTGGGCAGAGGCACTGCGGGCCAGTCCTTCGTTGCTTCCAGGACAGGCCCGTGGGCCAGATCTAAGCACCCCACGGGCTGGATACGGGCCCTGGGCCTTGAGTTTGACACCCCTGACCTAAATTATCAGCATTTCTGTTGTTAAGAGAGACATGTATGAAGTGTTCAAGTCTGTTAAGATCCAGATGGATCGTGAGCCTATCATCTAGGACAGTAGTGGCTAACCTTTTGGGGCTCCTGTGCCAAAAATTGCATGCACACACTTGCATGCCAGCACCCAGAAGGCAATGTGCGCCACCCCCACGTCCCCTGCGCGTGTGCACACGACCCCCGTTGCGTGCTGCGTGTCTCTGCGCATGCACACACGACCCCCCCATGCACCCCACACATGCGCACCAGATACTTGACAATTAGCTGTCAGGCAGGCGGCGCGCGCGCATGTGCAGTGGGGCTCTTCCAGGCGACCTCTAGCGTGCTGGCAGAAGTGGCTCTGTGTGCCATAGGTTCGCCATCACAGATCTAGGATGTTGGCTATTCCTGCCAGCTTAGTATCATCTGCAAATTTGGTAAATTCCCCTTCTATTCCCTCATCTAAGTCATTAATGAAGATATTGAAGAGTCCTGGGCCTAAGACGGAACCTTGTGGCACTCCACTTCTTCCTTCCTTCCATGTAGATGTAGTATCACTAAGGAGTATTCATTGAGTACGGGTTTCAGCCAGTTACAAAATCCATCTGATGGTAATGCTGTCTCTCCCACCTTTTTCTAGCTTACCAAGAAGTAGGTTGTGGTCTACTTTGTCGAATGCCTTGCTGAAGTCTAAATATATTTTGTCCCCAATCTCTTTCTCATCTCAAATACAAGTAGCTAATACAGGTAGGCCTCACAGAAAAAAAAAACCCAACTTACCATTGCAGTCCCAATTCTGGTGATTTCCCATGGCAAGTGGATGCAGTAGAGGAAGAAGAACAATGATATTACATATCAGTTTAGACTTGCCAGTCATCTAGATTTGAAAGAGGAGTGTGCCCTTGTTTCAGTGATGAAAATGAACAGGAAGAAACTATGGAGGAGTCTAAACATCTACTCTATGGAGGCATGGAAAGTCCAGGTGACCCAAGATAGAAAGACCAAGTTAGATGCTCCTTGGAGTTTCCTCACCTGAGCTTTCAAGAAATCCTTCGATTTTTGTTCCCGCTCATCCGCCTTGAGCTGGGTCATGCGGATCAAGTTATTGAACTCTTCCCTGTAATGCTCCTGAGCATGAATAAGTTGGTCTTCCTCAGCAATGCACTGCTCGAGAGTCCGCACCTCAGCATCAGTGGATGTTTTCTAGGTAGAAAATATCAGAGGACAATCCCGGAATGGGGTGATGTTAATCAATCTCTACAGAAGAGAATGTTTGGGCCTCAGGTGCTGAACAGTGGAGTCCTTGGTGATCTGGTTGTTTTCTTAGATGTTTTAATGACCCAAAATAGGCAACATCATCAACACTGATGGTGTTAGATAGTTTGGTAATAAAACGTCTGCAAGAAAACCACCAAATTCAGAGAACACCAAGGACCCCTCATGTCAACCCTGAACTACAAATATTTTCCTTTATTAGTATCTATTATCTATCCTGTCTGTCTGTCTGTCTGTCTGTCTATCTATATCTATCTATCTATCTATCTATCTATCTATCTATCTATCTATCTAT